TATATATATATATGGATGGATGGATGGATGGATAGATAGATAGATAGATAGATAGATAGATAGATAGATAGATAGATAGATAGATAGATAGATAGATAGATAGATAGATAGATAGATAGATAGATAGATAGATAGATAGATAGATAGATAGATAGATAGATAGATTGTTATGTGACAAGGACTCGTACTCATTAAAAGAAAAGAGTGAAAGCCAACAAGCTTTGTACATTTTAACAAACAATTTATTTCCTTTATTTATTTATTTATTTATTTATTTATGAAAAAATTGGTACATAGCACTTACAATTTCTAAATATAATCCTAATATGATTCTAAGAATAAAAACCGAAGACCTATCATTACATAGTCTTATGAGAATCCGGGTTCGAGTCATATATATATATATATATATATATATATATATATATATATATATATATATATATATATATATATATATATATATATATATATATATATATATATATATATATATATATATATATGAGAATTATTTACTAGATCGTCATGCGAGTGTGTCTGCTACGCACGAGCTTATATAACACCGATTCAGTGCCATCACTTTTTGGTGATGCGTGCTTAGTCGTGACGGTATATGGGCTGGTGCGCGCAGGCAATGCGATGGGTGCCATTTACTCGCGGACCTTGGTTCGAAACTCGGTAGAGAACGAATTTAATTTATCTAACCTATATGATAGTATTGTTTGTATTCAACTATTATTTCTGCCCACCATTATCAAGATTCTACTACAGAATCCAGGGATAGCACAGTCTGTTCTGTCTGGTATATATTTATAATTATTTGTAATACAAAAGTCCTATATACCTTGAACGACGTCATGCGAGTGTGTCTGCTTCGCACGAGCTTACATAACACCGATTCAGTACCGTCATTTTTGTTACTCGCGGATCTGGGTTCGAAACTCTGTAGAGTACGAATTTAATTTCTCTAACCTGTATGATAGTATTGTTTGTATATATATATATATATATATATATATATATATATATATATATATATATATATATATATATATATATATATATATATATATATATATATATATATATATATATATATATATATATATATATATATATAACAACCATTTCAAGCGCACTGGATCCACCAGGGGATCACGTGCATCAGGGATTGATTAAGATAGATACAATAAACTGACCGCGAACATTGCGAAACTAGTAACTAACTAGCCTAAGCGCTTTCGTCTCTTAATGAGTCTTTTTCAAAGGTAAATACAAAACATATATAAAACAAATAAATAAACACAAAATTGGAGACGTTGAATACTGTGCTAGTAGCAGTTGCAATAGTGTTTGTTACAGACACAGTCAACATCTCCAATTTAGAACTTACTGATGCAGAAATAAAACTTTTATCGAAAGGTTTGAATTTCTGTCTCCGTCCAAAAACATGCGACAGAGGGAAGCTTAAGAATGACACCGAAGAGTTTATCCGCTGACTAAGACTCAAAGCCCATTTTGCCTTGCAGCCAACAAACAAATCAAAGGAAAATATAAGCTGCGACCAACCCGCATTTAAAAAGAAAAGTAACTGAACCCCTCCAGAAAGTTCAATTCCGAATCTCGAAGCCTTTATCAACTCGGTTGAAAACGATACTTCCAGACATATCAACCATACTAACAAATATTCTAATTTGACAAAAGAAGAAACAGATGCCCTGCACTCACTGAAAGGCAGAGCAGACATTATAATTAGGCCTGCAGATAATGGTTCCGCTATTGTCGTTATGAATAGAGAAGACTACATTAGTGAAGCAAGTAGACATCTAAGTGACGCTAGGTTCTACCAAAAACTGGACCATGACCCAACGCTGGAATATGCAAAAAACATCACTAATGTTATTGACGAGGCGTACTAAAACGCACACATAAGATTTTATCTTCTACCCAAAATCCACAAACAAGGAAACCCTGGCAGACCTATAATCTCAGGTAACCGGCACCCCACAGAAAAGATATCAGAATATTTAGATCATTTTATGAGACCACATTCCAGAAATTACCATGATATCTTCAAGACACGACAGATTATCTCATAAAAAGCAAAGCTAGTGAACCATTACTGCAAGATACATTACTTGTTTCCTTAGATGTCACATCTTTGTACACCAATATACCGCACAACGAAGGGTTGCAGGCATGTAGCGAAGCATGGGAAACAAGAACTGTAAACAATCCACCCACACACTTCTTAGTCCAACTCCTGGAGCTTGTCCTAAAACTCAATAACTTTTGAATTTAATGAAGAAAACTACCTACAAATCAATGGAACTGCAATGGGTACTAAAATGGCCCCTTCGTATACTAACAATTTTATGGGAAATCTTTAGGGTCAGTTTCTAGCATCGGTTGAGCGTACAACATACCAGTGGGTACGCTTTATCGATGATATGGAAATGAAGTGGCAATATAGAAGAGAAAGTCTGGATGACTTCATATCAAAGGCAAACAACATCCATCCTTCAATAAAATTCACGGCAGAAATTTCCAACTCTAACCATGTTTTCCTGGACACAACAACCATACTGGTGGAAAAGAAATTACACACAGATATCTACTCGAAACTAACCGACAAACACCAGTATCTCCTCCCAACCAGCTGTCATCCAAAACACTGTATTAGGAACATTCCATATAGCCAGGCACTGAGGATACGCAGAATTTGCTCCGACGATGAAAGATTACTAGAAAGGTCTGAAGAGCTGACTAAGCATTTAATTTACCGAGGCTACGACAAAGACCTGATTGCGGAGGCAATTCAAAGGGCCAAACAAACAAACCGTGATGACCTACTCAAATATGGACAGAAAGAAAAGGCTGATAGGATACCATATATCCTGACCTATCACCCAGACAACCCCAAAGTAGGTACAATCATCGCAAAACACTGGCTCACCGTGCAATCGTCGGACATACTAAACCTAATACTTCCGAACAAACCAGTAGCAGCCTACCGGAGACCAAAAAACCTAAAGGACATCCTAGTCAGGGCAAAGCTAACGTCAATCGCTAGTCAAAACTAGCCTAGTCAATCTGGACCCAGTGGCTATAAAAGATGCAAAACCTGTCAACATATGATAGAGACCAGGACTTTCACTAGCACAGTGACTAATGAAAAACTAAACATAAATGGTCCAAGCAAAACGTGCAAGACAGAGAATGTGATTTATCTCATCACATGTAAGATCTGTGGCCTTCAGTACGTCGGAGAAACTGAAAAGCTACACAAAAGGATAAACCTTCATAGATCTGATTGGATGACAAAAATGCTGTACAGAAACCCTGTCGCAGAACCCTTCTCCTTCCCTGGCCACACTTTCAGTGATATAACACGTATCGCTATTGCTAACAACCACAGCTGGAGTTCCGAAACCAGGAAGGAAAAGGAATCATACTGGATACGCCGCATTAGAACATTGAAACCAAGTGGTCTAAGCCAAGAAGACTAGAAAAAGAAAACTATGCACTAGTAGAATTTAACTTTATCTAAATCTTCTTAGTATCCTTCAATTTTTACTATAAGAATAACCGGTATAGAGTCAAAAAACAGGGATATAATCTGTGTTACATAAATGTACAAAAAAGTAAAAATAGATGTCCCTTTGGCTTGTAGACTTTTAGGGAATTATACAGTTTTCAGTATCCGCAACAAGTCTATACAAGCTGGTTGTATTTGTAGTTTTAACCCATGTGGAGACAGCCATGTAGAGGTCCACAAACGCAACGTTTTTGTGTTTATTTGTTTGTCGTATATATGTTTTGTATTTGCCTTTATATATATATATATATATATATATATATATATATATATATATATATATATATATATATATATATATATATATATATATATATATATATATATTTGTGTGTGTGTCTTTTCTCTGGCTAATCACCACTATTGACATATTTTTGACTGTCTTGTAATATCCAGACACTGTACGATGATCCATCCTCAGTAAATCTTACTCCTGAACTTATAAACAATCAAATGTGTCATTTTAATCAATTTAGATGTTTAATTTTATGAACATGGCATTATTTAAAAGGCTAAAGTGTACATAACACAATAATTCATTACAACCTTTTTCAGACTGCAAGCCTATTTTTGTTTGAGAGAATATTCCATCTAAGCATATCTAGGAGACCTGTGAACGCGGCTCAGTTGTCACCGAATACAGTCTCTGTGAAACTAGTTTTCTGTTTGACATATACGATCTGACCTTTGCCCATTACAGTAACCATAGCGACTGAGCCCGAATCATAGTTATTAGGCCCTGAATATAACCCTCCGATCTCATCATGACAAGAACAAGAACTTCCGTGGCTGTAAGCTTCAAAATGGTTATAGAGAATGAATACAGTCCATGGTAAAAAGCGCTTAATCTTCAAGTCTATGAATCATAGAAGTTTCCTCTAACTTACTTTGACGTTTTCAAAACTCACCGTCTGTTTCGGAGCTTGAGTAATTATTTTAGAAAGAGTAACTGTAAATCCAAAGTTGTGTGTAACAAACGATGTATTTCCAGAAAGATCTGAAACTGAAGATAGATATATTTTTGAGGTGCCCGAAGGGTTGCAAATGTCCCCTTGCCATCTTAGCTAAAAGCTGTAACATACTGTCTGATTTCTCACCATTAATTGAACACGAAAATAGAAAATAAAATAACAATTGTCATAACGTAGCTGCCAGTGTAGATAAATGTCAAACTAAACCATTCACACGCATTTTGTTATTTTCTAGATTTGGAATTTTTTTAACGTAGCTTTCGCAATTTTTCAGTCATATCGCTAATATTTCTGCAGTGTGATAGTTTATAATGATGTTTAGGACTGGATCATCATGCAGTAGACATGCAGCATGATGTTATACCCAGTCACATTATTCTTACACCATGCCAACCAGTCCTAACAATAGCCTATTAATGCTGAGTCTTTGATATGACCCGGCCGGGATTTGAACCCGCATCCTCCCGCATCCGAGGCTGACGCTCTACCACTAGGCAAGGGTTTCCGACTTATTACTTGAAAAAAAGTTATTTGTATTTATAGGTTCCTTCATTTGTATGGCAAAAAATGAACGAGTCTTTCGGATTGTTACGTGTACGCCCGACCAACAAGAGCAAGAGAAAAGAGTCAAGACAACAAGCTTTGTATATTTTGAGAAAATAATTTTTTTCTCTAGAACACAATGCAAAAACTGGAAAACATGACTTACAATTTGTAAATATAATCTAAAAGTTAAATTTACGAATGAAAAATGCAAGTCGTATCACTAATTAGTTTTCGATTTGAATATAGGTTCAAATCTCAACTACGTTCCAATATGAAAAGCGATGACGTCAGATGTGGTATTTGTACAAATAGCAACAATTCCTAAATTGATTAACAGTTTATGTTTCCGAATAATTCCAGAATAAGTTTCCACTGAATTACTTTTACAATATTATAAAAATTACACTCGTTAGGCTTTTAAGAGAATACCATTATCAGATTCCAAACACAAATGAACTTCAAAAACAATCTGGTTTCAGCAATGAAATATTTATCCGGCCTTTGAGGTATTAGGAATACAACTGACTGACGAACGCTCATAAAGGGTATTATATCCACCCTAATTATCGTCCCATTTTCGCGAAACAGACTAAATGGCTTACAAGCACTTCAAACAACGCAACAGGAAAAATGCAATTTATCACGTAGGAAGAACCCCTATTTACTATCACTTTGAAATAAATTTAAAACTTGCACATTATTTATTCAGACCTGATGAAATGACCTTGGCAATAGCCAATCGTTCTTGTGTAGCACTTATACTACCGCGGACCAAGGTGAACTAAAGTATTGCACACGTAACACATTTTACGTCTTAAATAAACATTACTGAAAGGAAATATTGAATTACTGAAAAAGAATTTCGAATCCCGCGAAAATAATCAATACAATAAAATGCAATGAAACAAAAATAAAACAAAAATAATTTTAAAACTAACACACGAGCAATTTTAGTATATATACCTAACTGGACCGAGATTGCTTATGACATTTGGAATAGTGTATATCCATCTGGCCAAACAGTTTCATACTTTTACAAGCAAATGCAGTAAACTTTGGTTATATGCTAATTTGTTTATCCTACCAAAAGCTTAATTATATAAACAAAATACATTAAAAGAAACAAAATAACTTAATTTAAGTCGTATTCCAAATTAAATACATAAACGCAGATTCAACAGTATACAAGAACAACATTATTATTACGCACATAACTTTGACCAGATAAATTTGAACTTAGTCGCGCGTAGAAAAATCACTTTCGAAAGAAAACAGTGTTTTGGTGTACTTCGAATTGAAATTTAGGGTAATATTGTTAATGAATGCGCATTACAACAACATTTCTTTTTGTTTTGGAATGAATAAAGTTTGGTATTTTTGTTAATTCTACGAAAATTCGTGACTATGGACTGGATTTATATGTGCCAATTCTACATGAAGTACATCTGATTTCATTAGCGAGAGAGCAGCGTGTTGACATCTGCAAGTGTTTTTTCTATTCTGTTATTGAATGGTTGGAATCATAATGTGGGGAAAATATGATGTCTTTCAATTGCAATTATTAAAATGACGCTATGGAGTATTTTGTTCATTTTATTTTGAGTGTAATAAAGAGGATGTAATTGCCCTTGGAACATATACGAAATTACAGTACTATTTCGAAATGTGTAGTCCATCTTTAGAAACCATGACATGGCTCATGTACTTCGGATTTGCGGAGCTAAGAAAGTTTGTTTTGAGGAAATTTGAGATGTAAAACTGTAAGTATATTTTTAGGCATTATTATTATCAGTTCAAGAAGACAGGTTTGTGCTTTGTTACTTGCATCCTATTTGTAGAGACCAACAATTTAATGACATGTCTTGCGTCTATCGCTAGCCTCAGTCCGAAACATTGTATCAAAAACGTTCACACGGAATATTGCAATGAATCTGGTATGTGGCAGTCTTGCTTTAGTTCATTCAGAAACAAAGTTAGTCAATCAAAACTAAAGCGTCATCTACTTGAATGTACATGACTTGTTTACAATGTAGTTCCTAACACACTATTGTCACACGTAACGTGCACGTGAGTACAATATGAAGGTGTGCAGTAATTTAAAATAATGCACGATTATAACAATGAAAACTTAACGGAGACACAAATGAACATATAGTAAATGTTTATTCATTATTTAACCAAGTAGAATCTTAGAAGAGATGTCACATTAGTTTATCAATACATTTTATCTTGACGAACAAAGAACTTAAAAAGTTGCTAAATATCATATTTTATTAAGATTGTTTTTGTACTATGCTATCAACGTTAATTAAAAATATGTTTAGCTATCATGTCATTACAAAATTGGCGAATATAGAAATAACACTTTGTATGAAAATACCACTCCAAGGGCAATTACTCTTTATGGAAATCCCACTGCAATACATTTACTTTGTATTGAAACCCCACTCCAATACCTTACTCCTTTTGGAAATTCAACTGCAAATCATTTACTTATGTAATATTCACGGTCATGTTTCATCTGACATACAAAGCATAGTGCTTTCGTAAAACAAGATGTATACTGCATAAAGACATATAGTTCATGTGGTGATTAATTTATTACGATTATATGCGTATTACTATATTTAGCAATACGTCTATAATCAAAATAAATTAATCACTACCTTATTGGTATTTCATTCAATTTTTGAATAGCTTTTCTTTTTGTTAGAAAGAGCTCTAGTCTAGTCTTTGTGTCTCTTTTAATAATAATACATTTTCCTTAACGAGGATAACACATTTAGTCACGACTGACACATTTGCCATGTGGTCTTAACTTTTGTAATTGGCTATGTTAATAATAATAACTGAAAAAAGAAATGCAATAAAAGCATGCACTTAAGTATCGTTTCATTTGGTCATACATTGTTAACATGATTGACTGTGTTACTATATTCGGAAATAGGAACACGTATGAACAATATATTATACACTGGTACATACATTACAGTGTAAGTCGTTCAGATATTATATACATTTTGTTTTGGCATCGTTGTTAATTGAACATTAATTTAAGTACTTTTAAAGGATTTGCAAGCCGATTTTAGTACCTGAGAGGATCATGCTTAATGTAGGCTTCGAACTCGCTGTTGTTACTATAAACATCATATGAAGGGTAATAGTGCGCCATATTGTAACTAATTGCTCAGACAGAATTGTTTCCGAATCCAAAAAAGTATTACATATATAATATCTCATATGTAAACTTTTTAAAGGCTAAACTCCGTTCTTATAGCTGTGTAGAAGCACACGGTTGTGCTAAGGAACTGCGAAACAACAAATGTGATAAAAATTTGAATTTACTGGCAATGGTAATGAATGTGGTCCAACACTCTGAAATCATACAATACTTTTATTAAGATGATCAGATGTACCTAAGATTTAAGATGAGAGGTTTCTCACGAAGACGATGGTCAACAAATTAAAATAGTTTTTGTTTTATGTCGAATGCATATTTTTTATATATAAATAACTGGCCTTCCCTCTGCATATTTTCGAGAGTAATAACACACACACACACACACAGACACACACAGACACACACACACATATATATATGTGTGCGTGTGTGTGTGTGTGGAGAGAGAGAGAGAAAGAGAGAGAGAGATTTTATTGACGATGTTTGTGCTTTCTATTGTTAGTTGGGTCGTCTGCCTTGATAAAGAAATTGGTAGATCCCGCAAGCTCTTTTACGTTTGTTCTTACGTGTTTGTCATACTTGTTTCTTCTATATTTTTTCCATGACAAAACGATCTCTCAAAGATGAACTTTTAATTCAATTTGTATGGGATAACAATCTTACCATTATGTCATAAATCATCATGTCCAAGAAATTCTTAATTTTTGGTGACCATTTTGGATATGCAAAGAACATGAAATTTGAGAGAGAATCTCAAAGAATTTAACTAACATCAAGTTATACACTAAAACTTCCAATATACTCGGATTATTCGAACAACTCGCTCTTATAGGTTTCTACAGTCTCCAAATATTCAACTTCTTAACATAACAATGTTGTAGCAGGAATATACGAAACTTATTTCACTAATTACAAAACCAGCATAGAAGTGAAACAATCAAATGAAATATAGTCTCACACATTTATAATTGTAATGGTATTATGAATAAGAAAATTTCTTTTGAAAGTAAAATGTAAATGTAGTTAAAAGAAATGAAGCGAGAAAGTGGGATACAAAGAGAGAACATTTATTTAAATACCATATTGTCTATATGTGAGTGCCTATTTGACGATATATAATTTGTCAAACAGAAATCATATGTTAGTCCTTTGAAAGGTCATACAAGTAAAAAGTGATATTCAATCACTGTTGTTCTCCGGGTAATCACATATATCGGCATATCTTAAGTTTACAATTATAAGGTACAGTTCTAGTTCTGGACAATACATTTCTAAACTGAGGCACTCTTGCAATATCCAGATATGTACAATGCACTCTCAGTAAGCTTGCCTCCAGCACAGAGAAAGAATCAAAAGAAGGTCAATTGACTGAATCATAATTATAACTATATGATTATGAATTCAACACAAGGCAATACGTTATAATAAGTATTCATTAAATGCATATTTAAGATTATAAATCAACTCTTTGCTTGAAAGAATATTCCATCTAATTATATCTATCATGTAGCAGACCAGTAAAGGTGGCCCAGTAGTCACCGAGCACAGTTTCTGTATAATTAGGCTGTGTCTTGATATATACCGTCTGACCTTTGTCCATTACAGTAACTACAGTGACTGAACCCGAATCGTATGAACTAGTGCCTGAAAATAGCCTTCCGATCTCATCGTTGTCTTTCATGACAAGTAAGTGAACATCTGTGGCTGACTGCTTTAAAGCGGTTACAGAAAAGGAATACAGTCCGCGGTAAGGAGCCCGGAATCTTCCAGTCGAGGAA